TCAATACTTTTTACATTATGAAAACTATGCTTCAAAAAATTTATTACTCTTCTTTTAGAAACATAATGGAATGTTACTAAATACAACCTAAATTTAAAAAGTTATTGATTACACGCTAGCAGATCATCCCTCTCCAAAACTTAACAGCTCCCCAGTCATATTTCAGTTATAAGATTTACACACAGGTTTTATATTAGAAATGTCAGAGAACATCTTTGCTCATGGTTAAGGTAATGAAGAAAGACCTCCTTGCCCATTCCTACCAAAGACAGTCATTTCTTAAGTTATTGCAGAATTTTAACTAATAATTCTGGATTCAATTTTATGAGAATGGATATATAAAAATAAAGAAGCCATCACATTAATTAATTCATGTAATTTTTCTGCATTCAGCTATTTCTCAGTTTTATTTTAATATATTGTCAATTTCTAAACATAAGGGAGGATATGACAAATTTCCTTGAAAACATTCTACTTTTTTTTCCCCATTTCTAAATAATGGGATAATATAGCAATATCATTTGGAAGATTTATTTATTAAAATATCAATAACGAATTGTTCCATTTTAGTTTAGAATATACGAATACAAGTTATTTCTACTAGGTTTTCTCTATTTCTTGTGATTGATGCTTCTGATACCTTTTATTTAACAGGAAAATACTTTCTAATAGAAGAAATTAAGAGGTATTACAGAAAGAGTTATAGAGACCATGAATAAAGCAACAGAGCTAAATATCTATTGTTACCATGATTTTCAATGAAACCCACATAAGTGTTATCACAAAGAAATAAAACGTAATGAACTGGTGTAATAAAGATCAAGATCATCATCAAATTCCAAAATCTCTTTTTATCTCTCTATAGGGTCTGCTAACTGTATTATATGCACACAGGTACTCAAAATGCTGTTGACTAATAATGAAACTTTTTCGAGATTCTGGCACCAGGTTTACTGATAACAGGATACAGGCAGAAGTGTCAAGTTTATCAAACATAAATCATCAGTACCTATCAATTTCAACCTACCAAATCAGCAGGAAGGCATAAGAATTTAGTAATAGGAGAACAGTCGTTTTTGGTGCCAAGACTAGGGGTCCTGACAGGTGCCTCGCTGTCCAGGGCAGAACTAAGAAACACGATGTTGGTTAACAGATACAGCAGTTTCACTTAAAATTTTTTCATTTATTTCTGGGATGTTAGTTTATACCATACTGTTCTTTAGTTTATACCATACTGTTCTTTGCCTCTCTATAAACAAGCAACCAAAAATCTATCTTATTATTAGCCATTGATCTAAAATTAATGATAGCTTAAATATCTGAAAATAAATCAACTCTCCTAAATACAGTAATGTTGCATTTTCCACTAAAACTAAATATTGTTATAACATATCTGGTTTTCTTCAATGCCTTTTACTTTCCACAGAGAATCAGCTGACTTAGGAGACCATGTATTTCTCATTTAACACAGGAATTCTGTGATAGAAAAAGACTATTCAGTTTCTTACCTAAGCGTAGCAGTCACAGAATATGGTACTCAAAGTATTGTTTGGATAAATTACTACCAAAAAACTTTTACCAGCTGTTCCTGAATATGAGTCACTACTAGGGGTATACCAAGTAGCAATTTCCTCTAAAGAAAACCAAGCAGCAATTTAGTTACAGAATGAAAAGATCTGGGTAGAAAAAGAATTAGACAGTAAAACAGATAATTTAACTACTGTTATTCACAACATAGCCAAGAAAAAAAATCAGAAGTTATAAACTTCAGAAAAAAAGGGGATGGGCCAGAGACAAAATATTGGCATGCTAGAATTTTTTTTTTTTAAACTAAGAAAATATCTGTATAAGAACAAGGGACACTGAATAAGGGTACTTCCCATTTAACTACTCATTGTCAATATATACTGAGTTCACCTCAGGATAAATCAAAATTGCAAGAAAATGGCCCAGATGAACTAGAAGACTTCTAGCATCTAACAAACTTACTCATATTTAATAAGCATCATTTACCTCTAGTTTTACATAGTTCCCAACAATCTGATTTATATGGAAACTTTCTCTGTGAAAGAATAAGATGATGTGGATATTGTTATCAATGCATAGTGCAGAGGTCAACGAGATGATAAATTCAATTATTCTTCAATTTAAAAAAAAACCCAGAGTTTCATGCTGTTTTCAAATGTAGCTTATTATTGGGAAAATTCCCCTCTTCTACTCTCCAAGTTAGTACATAAAGTAAGGTACTATTTACATTGAATTTACAGTCTTTTTCATTTAAAGGAATGCCCCTATAACCTTGCTATAAGAAATTAATTTAAATGATGGCTCTTAAACTTCACTGTAGCCAAACTTAGAAATACAGCTGAGTCAAACAAGTTTTGAAAAGGAATCTGTCTTTTTTATTAACTCATTCAAACTAAAATCTTTGAAATACATACTACAGATATACTGAAGGTATCTCCTCAGTCATTTTGGGGCTACGTTCTATAATAGTAAAGTGTCTTGTGGGTGAAAATTGAAATCATTGTACAACATCTATTTAATAAAAAAAAATAAGACTTGCACTAAGAAACCGATACCTATATAATATGTAACATGACCTTTTTAATGTTGTTTTGCTATCACAAAAAATCAGTTATAGAAACCATTATTTATATTTCAATCACAACATTGCTCTTAAAATACAACCTATAATCTCATTTGTAACCAGATCTGAAAAACATATATTAAGACTATGCTTAGTCTATTTCTCTGGCAGAAAGTAAAACAGAATAATTTTACTTTCTCTTAAAACATTCTGGCAAGAAAAAAAATAGCCAGATCAAAGTAAGATGAGGGATCAAAATTGGCAATAAATCCATCATGGACAAAGAGTGGCACTAAAGTGAAATTTCAGAACACACTGCTCTCTATATACGTACTGTGGCCTTATGTGAAGACGAACATTTACAAAGATTCTAGAAAGCTATAACCAACTTGATAACCTAGGCTTTTCATCTTCATCATGTCCCCATAATATTTCGTTATCAGTAGTTTCAGCTAAATGTTTAAATATCTAATGTGATTTTACGTCCTACTTACTCTATTCAGTGTTTGCATATAGATTCACAAATATTATAAGTGACATTATATAAAATATTACTTATAATATTTTCCAGAATAATAACCTTGACTTTGACTAGAAACTGGAGCATTTTGGCTTTAAAACACTTTTTTTTTCCAATTTCTAAACTGTTCTTTTTAGGAAGTCATTGATGGAGGCTGAATTTAAAGTAAAAATGCCAACTTTGTAAATTTTAACGAAAAAGGGATTTCTATAAACAGATTTAAGTAAATACTGTTCTAGACAAATAGAATAATCGAGTAGCACTTGACACTGCCAAACACTGAACTTTCTTTAAAATCACGGGAGCGTCTATTGTAGCAGCTGCAGCACAGAACCTTACACAAACAGGGGCTAACCTATCAGGACTGTGAGAGCATGGTACGAGGATAAAGAAGAAAAGGTGAACATAAGCCAACATAGTTTAAAAAGTAAACTTAACAAGCAAACTATACTGAAAATCAACTTCCAGAGGAATACAGTTAATTACCACAGCTGTAATAATAAATCTCTTCCTTTAAGAATGGAAGACAAAATAATTCTTATTACAATATACCAATAATAGAAAACAATTATTCACATTCTAAGAGGTTTTACTTGAGGGGGTTGGGCAGGAGGGAATAAAAGCTCACAAAATTGAAAATGTGAAATAAAATAAATTCAAATTAAGATTTCACATTAATAGAAAATTTTTTTCTGATATTTCCCTTAAAGGAAGAATATTTTCCATAACTGGTTAAAAAGCACCTATGAAACTGTGCTGTCAGCTGTCACAATGGAGGTTTTGGATTCTTTTAGCAATTGCAGCATAACAAAAGGCATTTCACAGCATAACTTTAGAGAAAATGTTATCTGATCTAGAATCACACAGAAAGCAATTAAAAACTCTTTTAATTATTTATAATACACAAATTTTTCTGGGTAGCAGCAGTTGCTCCTGTACTTGCCCTTTTAAAAAATATGAAACAGAAGCAATAGAGTAGGGAAAAAAATTTAGAGAAGAGTAACAGTAGCAGCATTAAATAAAAAAGCAAAATTTTAAATACATTAAAGAAAGCTTCAAAAAAGGAAACAGTATTGTGCAACTTTCAATTATACCAAATAAAGTGCACTACCGAAATATTCACTGATAACATTTTCCCTATGTTGAAAAGACAAAATCTACTTATCAGTATTTTTTGATATTTAAAAAAAAAGACATTCACTCTTGTAGCCCTGACAGCTCTCTTCCAGTATTTTTAACCATTCAGATGTATTTTGTGGGAATATTTATTCACATAATTTTGCTTAATACATTTCTTTCTACACAAAACTGAATTTAAAACTCTCTATATAACATTTTCAATTACAGTAATAACACATTAATAAATTATAAATTAACAAAATCTTCATATTTGCTTTGAAAAAATCATTTTTCACAAATGCTAACCCAGATTTTCTGGAAAATTAAAGATGCAAATTGCTATAAATTGGCATACCAATTAAATTCTGATTTTTAAAAGTATATAAAATCTCCCTCAAATT